GGCCACGCCAGGAACACAGACCCCAGCCCAATGTTCCTCTTCCTCCAGACATCTCAAACACCTTCTCAAGCTCTGCTGTCCTTCTGCCTGCCCACTAGTTTCCTTTTTCTTGGCATCTACTCTGCCTCCCACCAGAAGTACTAATTTTTCCCCGCTGAGCTCCTGGAAAGCTCTTCCAAGCGCACGGTCGGAGCTGGAGGCCACCGACAGAAGGTCCACCCACTGCCAGCCCGCCTACATCCCCAGCAGCTCCTACTCGTCACCACATACACAGCCAAAAGGCGATGAGCTTCAACTGCGAGCACAGCGGGGGAAAACGCCACCCCTGCTCCATCAGCCAAGCGCCTCTCGTCCCATCTTCCCCCACCTCATTGCAAAGACAAAGCAAAGGTGCTTAAGAGCAGGCAAACGCATGCCCTATAGGCACCGTGCTGTGCTATAGGCAGAGACAGCACCTCTACACTCACCATGAGCAGTCGCATCTCGAGAAGTTGTACTGGAGGCTGGGCATTTGGGGGCTTTTGTTTGGTTTTATTCCTCTATGACCACAAATTCCCTTTTTTATTCTCTCGCCTGCAGTGCGGTTCCTGGCAAGTTGATTCATTTCTTACAGACTCCATGCCCTCCTCCCGTAAGGGTTTAATTTCATTTAACCAACGGAGTTAATCCATAAAGACTAAAAATACCGGCAACGTCAGCGCCGTCCAGACCATCACTGGGTGACACCAGCCACGCGTTGGCCGTGTAACGTTAACCATGCCGTGCCCCACGGGGCTTCTGACGATACCTTATAGATACCTGTTCCTCCATGCCTGGGCGGGGGGGGGGGAAATGAGAGGGGAAAACCTCCAGAGACCTGAAGCTGGGGCAGATGCTCTTCACTCTCCTCCCAAGCTTCCCATGGGGGCAGCTACGTCCCCTGCGCTACCTTCCAGTTTGGGGGCTGGACGAGGGGACAGGACCCGAAATGGCGGCAGTAGCAGTCGCGTGCAGAGGGCACCTCAGCTGCTCTAAGTTATTCTATGTGTGTTCCAATGCATTTTAGTTTCCTAAATAAATTAATACTTTATTCCCTTCTGTTATAAACTGCCCTCATTATAACGAAGTGCCATAATGCTGAGGCTACACAGTCTTAGAAAAGAGCTGTTTACTACCAAAAATCCATTTATTTGTGCGATAGAACTGATGATGGAGGAGAAAAGACTTTTTTTTTTTTAAACTCTAAGAAAATCAGAAAGTCTGTAACCAGAAAAGACAACCATAAATTGTTTCAAAGCCTTCAAAAGTGGGTATAGAAACGTCAGGCTTTTGCATTTTCATTAAGTTCTGGAGGTTTATTATTAAAAAAAAAAAAAAAAAAAAGGCTTTTATGCTTGGCTATTGGTCAGCTACAGCGAGCCTTGCAATTTGCAAACCAACTCCCCTTTCCCCCAAGGAAACTAAAATTCTTCAGATGTTTCATAAATAAAAATAATGGGCAAGAAGTCACTTTTACTGTTTTCCAAAGGAGATTTGTGTTCATCCAGAGCAAAGATATTTACACAATAAATACCATGGCGGGCATGCAATGCAAGATAGGCGGCGCTGGGCGGAGGGCAGGCACACAGCCGGGCGCGAGCAGCGTCCTGGCAGCCGTTACCTTTTCCACCTACATTAATCCTCCCGTATTAACGTTATCCAACACAAACACGTTGATTTTCTTGACCAAAATACTGCACGGTGAGACTGCCTTGCCACCGGTTCAAGGCTGTTGAGCGAAGGAGCTGCGAGCGCGCGCCCCAGGGGCCAGAGGTGCTGGGCAACAGGTTCTTTTAGGAAGGAGCAGCTCAGGGCGCGATGCCCCCAGAGTCAGAGGGAGGTCAAGAAGGGCTTTTCCAACTGAAGAAAAGCATGAAAAAGCAGGCACTAAGGGAGAAAAATTAGGAAAACCTTGGGGACAGTATTAAAAAATGTCATTATTGAGCTTCTAGACTCTGTGTGTTGCCTCTCGCATCCCAAACACACAGCAAACGTGGGACGATACGCACCACCCTACGAAACAATAAAAATTGTTTCCCACACAGAATAATGGATGGATTGGGTCCTTCATCCCCTGCACAGCACAAGCACCACCAACCCTCGCCTCCCCACCTCTCCCAAACAGCGACCCCCTGCCCAGGGCTTGGCTTATGTGAAGCGGGGGCTGAGCTGACCACAAACCCATGCATTTATTTTGACTCAGCATCCACCAATTTAAATCTCTCTTCTCGTCCTACCCTATCATTTGGATGAATCTTGCAGGAACTTTGCATCAAATGGCTTTTGGGCAAGCAGCTGCAAATGATTGGAGAGGCCTCTCCTGCAGGCAGATACAAACCTCATCTCCTCAAGACACCAAGCCACCAAAACCCAAGTAACACAAGAACAAAGTCTTGAGCTGCAAAAACACACGACCTGTTGCCTCACGTTACGTTTGGCAAGCACAAGGACAAACAACGCGGAGGTGGCATTACCACCAAACTAACCCAACCTCCGTGCTGGAAGGGACGCTTAGCTTCCCACAGCGGTGGAAATCACTGTGGTCATTACCCAACGGTTTGAGCTACGTCCGTAAAGCCAGCCATACACTACGTTGATGCTTCTTAATACACAACATTGAGAAATATCAATACAATCAAAAAAATGTAATGGAAGAGAACAGAAGGGTAGGGTTGGGGTGCTGGGAAAAGCTGTGCCAGGCTCTAGTAGCTATTCCCAAATCCTGGGACTGGGGCTAGGGGTGCAGCTCAAAGCTGCTTTGGGATTGGTGTCAACTGCAACGACCTACAGCTGGAGAAGCCTCCGTCCCAGAAGAAGGGCCAGGAAGCAGGGTGAATTATGGCCCTAGGAAGCTCATTCCTGGGAGAAGATTTCTTGGCAAAGCCACAGCGTATCAGTAGCTTGGGTCTGAATGTGCTAAAACCGAACCCAGAGTTGTTTCTCCTCTCAGGTATATAAACTAGGAGCGACTTCTCTAATGGGAGCAATCGCACCCAAGTCAGAAACCACTGCAAGAGAACAGCAAATTCCTCTGGGTTTTGTCAATTCTTGCGTTACCCAAGGAACTTGGTGTAGTGTTTCCATCAGTTCTAGAGGTGAAGTTGCGTTCTCAAACACTGACCTTTTCCCCTCCCCACTTCCAAGTTCGATTGGGCTAATGGGCAATTAACCCAGCCTTTCTGTCTTGCTTCTGGATTTTAGATAATTTCTAAAACCTGCTCACTAGCGGATGCAGGACAGAAGCGCTGCGTTATTCACAGCACTGTATCAAACGAAAAACTGCATCAAATCTTAACAGTAAGAAGTTTTTTCCCCTGCCTCAAACTGTGCCAAATCAGCCTCTTGCATCCAGTCCTGGTTACAGCAACGGAGAGGAGAAATGAAGTTGTGCTCAGGCTCCGCACGCTGCGTACCGCTCAACACCAAACACGCGGTATCACAGCAGAGTGGTTTTTTTAGTTTACATAAAACATTGTACATTAAATCAAAAAGCCAGAGGGGGTAACAGAGGTGGTCCCAAGCAGGAAACTGGGATCCATATCCCAGTACAGACTGGGACAACCTCTCCAGCCATAGCATCCGCCCTAGGGGTGCAGAGTTACCCCCACAGATGCCGCTTTCATGCCTCCTTTCTCCTTTGTGTTTGTTAGGATTTTTTTTTTTCCCCCTGCCATGAAACTTAAAGTGCCCCTGGAAAAGCTTTATTGACTTTATTCTTTTCCCTAACTCCTGATAAGGAGTTTAATGCTGGTTATGTGATCCAAGCAAATTGAACTATCTGTTCCTGGTTAGGCGTGCAGTTGTGAGATAGGCAAATTTAATTCTTAGCATATCAAGTTAATATGCCTTTTCTCTCCGAATCTGAACACTTCTCTGGCAGTAAAGGAAATAAAGCTTATCTATGAATATGCAATTATTCTGTATGACAAACAGCTGATTTGTTCGGATTACAAAATTTATCTGTATGCTAAATAAGAAGGCGAGAAGTAAAAATGTCCTGAAAGAAAACAAAACCCAACTGTCAGCAGCACCATTTCTTAAAATCAACAGCAGAGCTGGCACACACGGACATTTGTCTATAAACACAGTTATCAGGGTTGCTCACGATGGCAAGGCACGTACGAAAACCCAACAAGGAATGAAATAAAATACTGTCGTACACCGAGATTCCCTGCAGTTAAATCATACAGGGCTACGTTTTGAAAGGTTTTATTAACAGTTGCTCTAATATTTAATCACATGCAATTCTGCAGGCCCAGGACAGGGGCAATGTGAATAACCCACGCGGACAAACTGCCTGCAACGCAACGCCAATCTTTTACATCCATTTACACATTCACTTACAGGGCAAGGTTGGGGGTTTTGCAGGCGGTAGGTAGGGTGTAGGGTTTTGGGGTTTGTTTTTTGGGGATTGGGGTTTTTTTTTTTTTGGTTGGCTGGTTTCTGTTGGTTTGTTTTTCTAAATAAAGAGTCATGAAAAGCCTGACAGTAGTGAGATACTAGGTACAGCCAGGGAGGCAAAGCACACCTCCACCCAGACCATCGAACACCTCCTGGTCTATCACATCGCCCCCTCTGCTGTAACTCTTACGGGAGCAGCTTGTCCGTGGCACCTCCTTTAAGGGGCGATATTGCCCTCTCACGCAAGCGTCCCATCAGATTTGAAAGGAGATGGTCTTTCGACATCTCCCCTTCAGCGCCACAGAACCAGGGGCTGGAGAAGATTTCCCTTCTGCACACCGCGGGAAACGATTATTTTGCTCCCCAATTGGACAGAAATCTAATTAAAAATAGGTAAGCCCTGTTGAAAACTGGATTCATTTGTCACACAGCTCCTCTCGTCATCTCGACGTGCTGGAACAGTCAACTGTAACCGGGATCAAAATTGTGAAGCTGTTCTTTGGGAAAAAAGAGCCTGGATATTTGCACCAGAAGGCTCGCAGACTCTGAACTCATTAGCTCTCAAAATTAAAAGCACTTACCTCTTCAAGGACATCTGCAAGCTTACTAAGTATCTCCTCAGGAAGGCTCTGGAATGTGGGCACACTGCAATACAAGAGAAACCTCAATTAATGGATCCCTCTATACAGGCCATAAATCTAGCGGCATTCCCCTCATCCATCTTCCAGAGATATTTTGACCTCATCACCTGGGGCTGAACAAGCGCTCACTAGAGAAGCGGCGTATGGAATGGAAACCTGATCTTCTAGCAGCCAAGATGTATTTTGTGATGATGGGAGACCACTTGCAGCAAACATCTGGAGAAGCACTCATAAAGCTGGTAATCAACTAAGAATCAATTAAGGATTTACTGGAATTACTCTGCGCCGCAAACCTGCTCAGTCACATGTACGACTGTGCAAATTTTTTTCCTGGTCCACTTCCATCCCACCAGAAATAAATAGTTAAAAAAAAAAATAAATAAGGAGAAAAGATCAGCACAGCTCAGAAGCAGCAACAGATAAAAGATTGATTGAAACCACACACAGACACAACAAATGCAGAGCACGAAGCCGCAAAGGGTATGGGGTCAGCAACAAAACGGCACGGAAGGACTGTTAGAATTATTGAAGGCTTCATCGGGAATTTTATATCCAAGTTTGTTTGTTTTCTTTTGCTGAAAAGAAAACTTTTCCTCTTGTTTGGCAGCATTTCCCTTCGCAGCTGTCTCCCAGGCCAGGCTGGACCTGCTGGTCAAGGTGAGAGGGCAATGCAGCTCCAAGGAGCCCACTGGCCCAGGGCCCATGGGACTGGGATTTAATTCAGCCTGGGGCAGAACGAACGATATGAAGCTGGGTCTCCAAATCTCCTGCAGGTGACCCTGACCTTGAAGCTCTATCTCCACTACCTTACGGGCTGCCCAGCAAGGATTTGGAGTCTCCCTCCTCGGAGATGCTGACAAGCCATCTGGGCATGGTCCTGGGCAACCAGCTCTAGGTGGCCCTGCCCGAGCAGCGGCATTGAGCCAGACGACCTCCAGAGGTCCCTGCTGACCTCAGTCTGCACTACCTTGGTCTCTCATTCGCTATTTTCCATAAAAACTTGCATTTCATCAATATTCCCAAGTGACACTAAATGAAACACATAAACACAATGTATGTTCCAGGGGGAGGAAAGCAGCACTGTACCTGCTTTAATTAAAAACACTTTTCATCAGTAGGCTAATTAGCAACGCATCTACATGACACATTAGCCCCAGACTAGCACTGAGCCAATACAGCTCTGCTGAGGCTATTCCCAAGAACAGCTTGCTCTAGAGTTGCTTCATCACGGTCCACTGCATGGTGTAAAGCCAGCCCTATGCTCCTAATATTAAACCGAGATCCCCAACGTGTTGCTCTGGGTTTAGGAACCTTGTGATCAGGTGCAAAGCGAGGGGAGGGGGCTCTTGGGGGAGTTCCCTGCTGAGAGGGAAATACAACCCAAACCAAAGCCTGTTTTTCCTCTCACACAGGGTTTCACTTTCTCCTTTGGATCACACAACTACATAAAAGTTATTCTCCACATTTAGGGGAGCTCAAAGAACCAAGCCAAACCCATGCTTTTGAAGTCCTGATCTGGGGAGCAAGTCCTGGCAGGTGCCTTTGGGGTCGTCACCCCACCTAGGTTTCATGAGCCCCAAGCACCATCTGGATGCAGCGTGGTGGCTGTTCTGCACCCAGAGAAAAGCAAAGGGAGGCCTGAAGACCCTGCAGAGGGCTTGAGAGCAAAACCCAGTATTTTGCCTGGGGCCAAGCATGAAGTGCCCAGTGAACTTCACTTGCGAGCAGAACTAAAGCAGAGTTTGCTTTTGTTAGCTTAAGCATGTGCTACACTGCAGTGGAATTAGAAAGTTTGGAAGCCTTCATTATTTAAAAAACAAACAAACAGCAAAACCCCAGCTGAATGCGTTAACTGGTAAGACAGAACTCCGTGCAGAAGAACATGATCGTTGATGCCTCAGTAACATCTTCCATTCTCTCCTTAGGAAGCGCCCTTTTTCACGGGAAACACATCGGTCCACAGTGCAACAAGAGCAAACAGAAACAACTGCTATGGAATTATGCGATGTCTGGGCCTAGGCACAAAATGCAAGTTCATTACACCAGCTTCAGCGTTCCCAGATGAGGAATAAACTGATGGGAGAAGCTAACGCTCCCAGACATCTGGACAAGCTTTACTGCGGCTGCACCAGCACGCTCTCAAATCGGGAGCGAATGCATCTCGGCGTGTTTGCATCTGGGCAATCCGAGGGTGGGCAGCAGAAGACATCTATTACAGACCAAGTGCATGAGAAACAGAGAAGCTTACGAGCTCTGAACAAGTTTTAAATCTCACTGCTGAAAACTTAGGATATTACGTAAACCAGGAACATGTCCTAAGAGAAACGCTGACAGCTTCAGCACAGCAGTAGAGCAGAAAATGGGAAAGTCTACTCGTTGGCAAAACAAACTCCAAGGACATCACATCACAGACTCACACATTAATATCACAGATTTATGGTGGGCTACGATGGGTCAGCATCCTTCTAAAGTGACCACACAGCCAAACTGCATTGGAGTCTCATTAGAAGAGGCCTTACAGGACTGCCCATCACTTCAGTACCAAAACCCCCCTGTATTCAGCAAATGCTTTTATAAAATAGCAGAGAGAAAACGTTTATTGACCTGTTAAAAGATGTCACGAACTCAGGCCAACAGAGCTGATCACAAGACTTCTGGAGCCAGCTTTGAAAACCTGCTCAAGCACTAAGACTACCCAAAGCTTGGCTTGATTCTCCAGGTCGGTAAGAACAGACCCCGCGCCCTCCACAACAACGTTAAACAGGTTCATCAAACAGATTCCTGCTTCGCCCCAAGACACGCCTCTATCGTTTAAAGTTTTGCACACAAAGATCAATGTTTTGGAGATGACTTCCACGTGGGTACCAGCGCTCAAAGGAAAACAGAGCCTCAGCTCCCAATGGAGAGCAGAGGAATGCAGCTGAGCAGCAGATTGCTGCAAGGGGGAGAACATATGCAGGAGGACAAGCAGGAGCAGAGGACACAAAGGCAACCTTTGAAGATGTTGCAGCACAGCAACAGGTAACAAAAATTAGATTCGGTTTTTCACAATTTTGCAAAATTTGTGAATAGGTCTGCAAATACACACAAGAGAACATTCAGCACTTGAGTTTGTTGCGTATCCATCATTTACAATGGAAAAAATCCCAGCAAATACAACTTAATCTCATCGAGAAATTACTTGCCCTGTCCACAACAAAGCAGGATCTGTGCCTAACAAAGCAGGATCAAGCAAACCCCAAACACATTCTGGTATCTACCACCGAAGTTAAACAACCTTCAGAACTTTTGACTCCGCTTCCTACCTACAGCACAGGCAAGGGACTCCACCGTGCTTCTCTCTGCAACCATCTCCCGCTTTGCCCAGGAACTGTGCCTTTAGCAGACCAAGCCCTGGCAGCTTGCTCAGCCGTTCCTAGCAAGCTGCTTTCTACAAGCCTGCCTCCTGTGGACTTTCTCCAGCTGCTTCTTATTCCATGTAACAAGGAGAAATCTCCCCACCTGAGCTGACCACACTGCCGAGAAGTTGCCCTGAGAGGGAAAGTCCATGCTCCAGCAAACTCTAATGCTAAGGTGGGAACCCCACCTTGTTCCTCCTGGGCGAATGCCTTGAGCACCCCGGGGCCAGAGAAGGTGACCTCTGCCACCTAATCCTTTAAACGTTATTTTGAGAGAAACTGGTTAAGCACCTAATTGCGGAAGAGGCTCCAGCTCTGCTCCAATTGCCCCCCCCCAAAGCAAACCATGGAATGGTACCCAGCACTGCACCACCTAACACCTCTAATGCTGATTATTCAAAACCCACCCCACCCTGTGTGATGAGGTTATGGAATAAAGCTGGATATGGAATAGAGATGCTTTCCCAACTGATGTTCTACTCACCTGTAGCCTCTCCCTGCCCCTCAGTTACTTATGGTGATATGGGTGTTAAAAAGTACTTCTACCAAACTATTTATGCCTATTTTATATGTCCCCTTTGCAGAAGTACAGCCCAGGGTCCACACGAAGAGATGCCTCCAGGCCACCCTACAAAGGTGCTGGTAGCACACAACAAGGCAATCCAGATCTGTAACCTAAGGAGATTGAGTTTTAACAGCGAATGCCAATAAACCTGATTTTGGTTTTTTTAATCAATCCACAAACATCACACTGCTTTATCACAGAAGGTACGTGGCTGCCACTAGGAGTAACAGGATGAGGGGCAACCTCCAACCTTCTCCAGCCTCCCTGCCCCAAGCCTTGTTAGATTCTCCTTGGAGCACGAAAAGGAGAAGTAGCTGCTCTGGTGGAGGAGCTGCTCATGCTGGCAAGGAGAGGTGACTTTTTGCTGGCTATATTCCACGCTGTTCAGCTATGGAGTATTTTGTAGGCGATGCCAGTCCATGTAGGTGGCGAGGGCACCGTAGGGAATTGCCTGCTGTCTGCAGGAACGGCAGAGCAGCTCTTCCCATTGGCTGAGAAAGCGGCACGTCCTCCCAGAGAGCCCAACACGCCGGATGGAGGCTGCCAAAACGGGGCAACAGCTGTGCCAAAGCGGGCACGTCGAGCCTCCGTCCAGATACAAAAGATAAGCCATGTCCAACCTGAAGGCGGTGGAAGGAGGCACGAAAGGTCAGGTCCATCCCTGGTGATCTGCTCGTGACTTTTAGGTAGAAGCAACATCCCCCATTAGCAACAGTTTGATTCATCCTTTTGATTCATCCCATGGGATTAATCCTGTATTAAACCAGCAAGGACTCTAAATAATCCTGGCTGTAACCCAGGGGGTTGATTTTACCCCAAAACACACTTGGTGGCCCAGATGCCAGCATGCCAGCAGGACATTTATCTTCTGACACGCGTGAAAGCTTTGCTGGGTCCCTGGCTGTCTTCTGCCCTCAGCCCAACCCAAAGGCAGCTCTTCACTTTCTGAACCCATGTCAGGACGTGTTCCTCACGCTTTGGAAGGGCGTTCATGGAAAGCTCGCCCAGTGTCGCAGCCGATGGTCCTTGTGGGCCAACTCC